TGATATTCGTTTGTTTTATGCCTGCAGTAATTATGAGTGAAACGTCAAGTCATCATTGTGTATCAAACAGGGCCACCTTGAGGAAAAAAGATGCATTGCACATATTGAGTCATCATATATGTAAATATAGTTGTGCAGGAAAAAATACTTACACATTTACATACCTCGGGTCTCCAGTGACCCTATACACTTTTTACAAAAAATGTATCAGAAAACTGGCATTCTTTTATATTTGACTAATTTGTTTCTTGTTATGTTATATTGTTTATAATTAATAGATTGAGGAATACTAAGAAAGTTGATGTCTAACTTAAAAAAATGAAGGAGGGAGAGGGTAGAGAATGATGTCCCGGGTCGCTAAAGACCCAAGGTATGCATTTAAGGGTTAATAGGTCTGGGAAACCAGGCAGTAATGAGACCAGTGTGTTGGAGTGTACTGAATGTTTGTCAGTTTGTGGCTGTGTGGCTTCAATGCTTTTTAAGCATCAGATGATAAAGGTCAAATGTGTACAGTATGTGCAGGTGGGTATGGTAAAATCCGTACCTTGTCCTCCAGCGCAGCCATGCGCTCCTTCAGGTGCAGCTGAAGCCGTTCATTGGACTCGGTGAGGAGACGGTCCACAGTGTCAGACAGACGTTTGTTATGCTCCTCGTTCATCTTCTCCCTCTGCCGAGCCTGAGAAAAGAGCAGAGAAGACAAAGGCAAGAAAGAAAAAAGGGAAGCATGAAAAAACATCTTTTATTTTAAGAGTACAACTAGATTTCTACATTTTCAGAAGAAAATGTGAGAAGCAAGATAATCTGGTTCCTAGATATGGCTTGGTCTACTCTAAGGGATGCCTATGGAATTTGTTTTTCTGAACCAATAGAGGGCAGTATTACACCCTGGAGCACTGTGATCATATTCTAGGAGTTTTATGTCTGATTTTTTAAGTCTGGTTCATGATATTAAACACACATAGGTGCCTCTGAGAGTTCACATTTTGCTTCAATATTTAATTCTAATTTCTCACATTTTTAAGGGTGTTTCTAAGGGGGTTCATTTTGTGATAATCTCTCTAGAAAATGAAGAATGACAGTCCTTGTAGTTGAATGCAGGGGTGATGACTTTTAAACACAGTTGCGGTGGGATTTGGGCACTCAGTTGCCTGGCAACAAAATCTAAATTTTCTTTTGGTGGCAGTGGTCTTTAAAATGTAGTCAACACAAAGCATTGTGACTGTCAGGAAGGAACTGGAGCTAGTCTGAGGTGTATCAAGGTTTAATTAAGGCTGAAGGATGATAAGGACTCTCTTTGACTGCTTTAAGTCATTACAACCATCACATGGAAAATTAACCCTGCATGAATTATTCAAAATCCAAATATAGCAGCCAATTACAGCTCTGCTCTCACTGGGGGTGGGGAAATTCATCTGCAAGATGAGCTAAAAAATGTCCCGTATTCTCAGAGCAGCAGCATGTGTGTGTGTGTTTGTACAAGAGTGCTAGCTTATCGATCTTTGTGTGCCTCTGTGGTGTGTGTAAAAAACACAAGAAAACACAAAGTAGCACAGGCTAATCAGAGTGGTCAGATTAAAGTGGTCTGCAAAACACACCGCCTGCAGGCCTGGTCAAGACCTATTGTGCAACAGGTAACATGTCTTCCTTAACGCGAGTGCGCACACACACACACACACACACACAAACACACACAATGAAATTAGGACCATATACTAATATTGTTTTAATATAAATCTAATTAAAATACAGACTATCCTTGAAACCCAAACAAAAAGAAAGGTTTTTACTGTTTTAAAATAAAATATCTTTGCCACCAAACTATGGCTATACATGTCCACTGACTCCTATTATATTGTTAAAATATTCTATTCTATTGTTAAATAATATGAAGAGATACACTAGTAAATGTTTAAATAAATATACAGTAAACTAAGATTAATAAATCCAATATAGCACTATGGACTTCCTATTATTTTAGTACAACTGTTAAGTCTTTTCCCTAATAGGAACCATCTGACGAATGTGATTTCAAGTTTTGTGGAGACATTCTGGCCACACATATGAACATCCACACAAAAAAACACTGGTGTCTCAATAGTGTTCATTCTTATGTGCACTTAAACAAATCAAACCCTCACGCACACAGTGCAATGAACCAAAGCCATTCACACTCTCTCATTTTCTCCCTTCCATCATCCTTCAAGCGATCTCATCTTTCCACTATATCCAACATTCACTCCCTCAGTGACCCACTCTGCATCCCTGTTTTCTTTTGGTGTCATGGCCCCAACCCAATCCTCACCCTGCCCAGTTCTTGGTTCTTCTCTTCTAGCTGGGCCTCCAGTTGGCGCAAACGCTCCTCAATGTTTCCATGACGCTCCTCCGCCTGCAGAAAACAGATTAGACACTTCACATTTAAGAAGAAAGAGGTTTAGATTTAATGGTTAATTGTGAGCCAACCATATTTAAAATGAAAATAAGGCTGTGAGGCATGAAAGCATTTTTTTTTTGTTCAGTGCATATTGTTGTATAGTTCAGCTTCTCTGACTAAGGTCTATAGCCCAGTGATGGCATATAAATGGGATCTTAGGAAGGAGAAAGTCTCCATCTGGTTTAAGGCCAGCCATGGATCTGTATTCATTAGGAACATGAAGTGTATGACAGGATGCCACTGACTGAGCATGACAAAAGTTGCCATTTTTAATTATCTGCATAAGCGAGACTATAAACAAAACCCCACTGCCTCTCTGCCACTCTGACAAGACATTTGGCTGCCTCAGAAAAACACTGTCATCCACAATTTCAGCTGATGTTAAGATGAAACGTGACTGCTACAGAGTGAGGATGATCTAAACTGGCAAGAGATGGAGATGGAAGCCTGTAGAAGAGAAATATTTGCTCTACCTCTGGATGTTTGATGGCTGATGCAACGAAGTGCTTTATTATTTACAGTAGAGCTGTATTTTTATTTATTTTAGTCTTTTTTGACACTTATAACAAGAAAAAGGACATAACTGATGGGAAAAGGGGTTGGAACAGGATGAAGAAATAATGACTTGCATGGAGCACCATGGCTCAATGTGTCATAAAACATATTGCCTGACACTAGGCCTCAGGTCTGACCAATACATATGTTTAAGGATCCAGATTTTACTTTGGACATCAAGTGGAAACCCAAATCAGTAAAAAAAACAATTTACACAGTATATTGCCTATTGAAAACAAAATGATTTTTTAATCAGACAATCAATTACCATGAACTATATAGGACCAACATATTAAAAATTATTAACATGATATAAACAACAGCACAAGTGTTTTACCCGTTAAGCCAATGTCAGTCTTAAAACACATTTTCGTTAACTGGAAAAAAAAAATCTGAATTTCAATAAAAAAACTAATTTTAACTAAATGAAAATGTAATATATTGCCTTGGCAACTAACTGAAATTAAGTTTAAAAAAAGACAATGAAATAAAAATAAATTGAAACTAAATAGAACTTGGGACAAAAATTTTGTAGGTCTGCCCAATTCCCCCTGGGCCCAGTAAGTGGGCTAGGACCCAAAGCAACATTCCTTGTTGTTCCCCCTGGCGATATCCCTGCCAGGAGCACAAAATCACAAACTCATGCTGTCTATACAACAGCAGATGTCCTGATTTATCTCTCTCTTTTGAGATATTTATACCCACTGCATTCATAGCAAACACTCTGTCCAAACTGGCACCAACATCCATGCAGTTGGGAATCCTCTTTCTTTCTCCAGCTGATGGATCTGGATACTGAAACAGTTGGGCGATACCTGCTTCCTCCCAGCATGCCTCTTCTCAGCATGCTGAAGGATTCCAGCATGATTCGGCTGCTTTAGGGCTAATTAACCCCCCTCTGACTAACACGCGCCCTTCACACGCACACATACAGATGAAACATGACTCTCAGTACATCTCATCTGCATTATGGGACATCAACCAGCACTGAACTACAGCGCTCATACTTGAAATGAACTTCAATTCAGTACAGGCCAGATTCAAGGTTGGCATACCTGTCGGTAAAGTGAGTCCTTGGTGGCCAGCTCGTTCTCTAGCTTGTCGTTCAGGTCATGGATTGAGGTGGTTTCTCTCTGAGCGGCCAGGTAACGCTTTTCTAACGTTGTGATTCGCTCTTCCATGTCCTCCTTCTGTGCCATCGCCTGTTGAACAGGCACATAGTAAGAGAAAACAAAAACCCTTGGGAAGTTTGAAAACCTTTAACAGATTACATTAGGGAATAATTTAGTAATAATAATTTAGGGAAAATGTGCGTAAAGTCAGCATAAAATAATTTTCTACATGCATCTTATTGTTCATATTGTGAATGCTTCATCCATGAATTTTTTAATCAGAAAGTCAGAACTGGAACTTCTGGTGGAACAACAGACTTCTCTCTGGTGACATATGCAAGATTTCCTCAATCATTTAGTTTGATTAGGAGTCCCGCTCCTTTCTTAAAATCGATTGCAAGCTCGAATTCAGATCTGCCTCCATCCAATCAACAACTGATGGATAGAACTAAGTTCCTGCCTTACTTTCTTTTTGACAATTTGTTTAATTTGGATGTGCATCACAATATGGAAAAAAATCTGTCACTACTTATTACATCGCAACTTAACTAGATATAATTACAAAAAATATAAAAAGGGACTGATCACTTTTAAAATTAATTCAAAATTAAAATTCTATAATGTTGTTTCAAACCAATATGACTTTTCTTGTGAAAACAAAACAAAACAACAGAATCTTTAAACTACTCTTTTCTATACAATGAAAGTGTAAGGTAATAATATCAAGCTCCAAACATGACAAAAAAAAACAACCAGACAAGCAACATAAAAATATAGTCCAAGTTTTCTCAAGCCATTTCATAGCTTTGTGTGAAGAACACACCAAAATTGAAGGCTATTATTCACTAAAATGCACCTCTCTTGCAGTAGCAATCAATACTTAAGGATTCTGTCGCATTTGGTTACAAGACCACAATGACCTGGTTCTATGTTAAGTGAATATACTTCAGTTGTATGGAAAAGAACGGCAAGAGCATTCTACAAAACATCATCTGTGTTCCACTAAAGAAAGCGACATTGATATTTTAGACCTTGTCAAGGAATGAGTCACAATTGCATTATTTGCAACCTTCTGTTTCTCAGCGAAAATAAAGCAGAGCTGAGAAAATATCCTCACTGCCTGATGTTTTATCTTCCCTGAGACAAGCCCTCATCAGCTTGTCCCCATTCTGTCCCTTTCCTCTCTCCCCAATCATTCTAACCTCCCGTATGTCCCTCTGGTGTTTGGTGCTCAGCTCCTCGTTCTTCAATAGGTCTTTGCGGGCCATAGCCAGTTCAGTCTCTAGCTCAGACATGCGATTGGTCAGGCCGCTGATCCGCTCTCTGTTTTGGGCCAGCTCCTTATTGGCCTTATCCAACAGTTCCTGCAGCTCCAGACACCTGCTGGTGTCATCATGGACATCGATGGAACCATTGGGAAGCCTCTGTCACAAACACAAACACAAAGAAATGTTAGTGATGCAATGGAGAGCTAGTAGAGAACTTGAAAACTTGTTTATCGGTCCCCTGATTTCCACTTAGGGTCCTAAATAAGCTTCAGAATGCCAAAATAAACTTCTAAATCATTTTCAGAGAGGTATATGCTGAGTCAGAGTCTGAAGAACACACTCAGCAAGTTAAGCAGCTTGACTGCAATTATGGCCTCAGGAGTTCAGAGGTTCTTTCGCATGCATCATATTGTGACCGTGCATTTCATCCATCTACATTATACAGCCAAACAAATGAAATCCTCCAGACCAGTGATTTTGCCAGCCTTCAAACTCAGGGTTGCTCTGCACATTACTGGAAACAAAAAAACGACCAGGGTTAGATGGGCTAGGGCTAGATTTTCCCCCAAAACTGGCTGCTTTCGCAAAACTGAAATTAAAAGTAAATTAAAATTAAAAACCCTCTCTTAATTTTAAAATATGAAAATGTCATAATATACATTTTCAAAACTATAATGATCCAAACAATGTGTGAAATAAACAACAAAAGAAACAGTTTTGCTTGTTTACTTCAATATATATCATTTATATACAGTATAATGCACTCAGTTCTGGTCGCACTGAACAACAATTTTATTTTTTTATTTTTTATTTATGACACAATGTAATTTCAAACACTTTCTATCAAGGAATGCTATTAAACGCAGTACATGATTTGAAAAACTAAACCCTTTTTTTCCACTGCAGACTTTGAGAAAGCAATTTCAGCTATTGTCTTTACTCAAATGGATTATTGTAATTCCCTGTATTATGGAGTTGGTGCGGGAGCACTAGCGTGCTTACATAAAATCCAAAATGCAGCTGCATGACTCGGTTACGCCATTACTAATGTCATTAAAGTGGCTGCTAAACGGCATATAATTATTTATAAGATTCCTATTCTTGTTTTTAAGGCCCTACATAATCTAGCCCCGGGTTACCTGTGCAGTATGGTGTCAGTATACACTCCTTCCAGATTCTTGAGATCAGAAAAACAACACATTCTCTGTGTTATTAAGACCAAATACAAATATAAGGGTGATAGAGCTTTTTCCAGAGCCGGTCCAAAATTGGTTAGTCGGTGATTGTAAAGCACTTTGGATAACCTGTGTTGTATTAAATTGTGCTATAGAAAGAAAGAAAGAAAGAAAGAAAGAAAGAAAGAACGAAAGAAAGAAATGTGGTGGAAATTACACTTATTTATATTCACAGAGAAATCTTCCACATGAAAAGTCCACATGGCCCAGAGTGCCCACAGTTAAAAACACCCTCACATGCTATGATCTTTGACTTCCTTGGCTTTATCAGAAATTTTGCAGAAGCCTATCAGTCACTCTACTGGGAGTCCACAGAAAAACCCACGTTAGCCTCTGACAGGCTGAACTTAGCTTTAAGTATTTGATGAGCCATGAACCACAGGGACTATCAGACGTATTTCTGCCCTCCAGGGAGGCTTGAGCCAGCTCTCCAGAGAGACACACAGTCTGGAGCATGTCTGCCGTCTCTTGCAATCTATTTCTGTCTACTTTCATCCTCTCCATCCAGCTCTATATAATTCATTGTTTCTAATCGCACATGCAGTTTGAAGTCAACTGTAAATTTACATAAATATAAGATGTTCCTGCTAAAATTGTACATTTCATAGAAAGGCCAGGGTTTGGAAATGGTTTGGAAAAGGCCTACAGGCCTCTCATTTCCATTGTCTTCTTCTAAAGGTGTAATATTACGAAACACAACCTTTCAGGTGCTAACAATTCCCAGGAGAAACCCACCAGAACATGTTTTGCTCGTTCTATTAAAATCAAATTATAATAATAACCATATTATTATATACTATAATAATCACCATCAGAGAGATTCGAGCCCATGCATTTTGAGAAAAACTATAAAAAATGAGGTCTTCCTCAGTCCACATTTCCTTAGCTTCTGACTACTTAAATACCTGACAGTGATGATCTAAAATAAACACAAAAAAGCCAGACAATGGGTGACATCTGGAGGAGCTCTGCTAATAAATGGCACAAGTAGAGAACTTAAAGAGCTTCACACACAGAGACTGGTGAAAAGACAGTGGTTGACAGTCAAACAGTCAACAGGGCAATGTTCCTTCTTAAGTAGGAGCGGTAACATTTTAGCTACCTTTTCAGAGTTAGAAAACTTTCAGAAAAATACTGACACACAACACTGACTGTCTGACAATGTGATGTTAAAAATGATGTTAAATCACCTCCATGAAATCATATTTGGAGTTTTATAACTAAGACTATGGCTGTTATCTATAAGCTCATCTACATACTACTGCACTCCTAAAAGCTAACAAAAATAGTCTATATCTTAGTAAATATACACATTTAATTCCTATGTCCTGTAACAACCTCCTGTTTCAATAGGAAATACAGCAACATGAAAAGAAAAGCATGTTTGTTTAGTCTGTCTTTAAAGTTGTGATGAAACAGAAGTAGTGTCAGATCTGATATAACATTTTGAATAAAAATGACTTTTTTTCAACTTTTTTTAAAATTAAACACATACAGTGGGGAAAAAAAGTATTTAGTCAGCCACCAATTGTGCAAGTTCTCCCACTTAAAAAGATGAGAGAGTGGTGGCTGACTAAATACTTTTTTGCCCCACTGTACATGGATGAATCACTCACAATAAGCTATATAACAAGCATTTAGAAAATAGATAATACATTTTCTTTTCATGCCGACTTTCATAATGAAACCACAATCTAATATCTGCTCCCGAACTAATTTTGTGTACTAATGAGGAAATCGATAATGCTGCATTGAAAAAATCTCTTACTACAGAAAATCAATCAATAGCATTTCACACACATAAATAAAAGGTAACGTGATATTTAAACAATGAACCATGGGATCAAAGATTAAGAGCAATTCACAATTTTCCTGTTGACCAGACTCCTGCTGGCTGGCTGACTGCTAGAAGTGAGTCACACTTAGAGACAGGAGACAATTTAGCAGCCTGTGCTGAAGGTTGAAGGGCAACTTGGCGCATAATCAATGCGGTTTATTTTTCAGTAGCGAAGAAAATACCATCTGTGAGAGAGGTATTAGAGCAGGAGGGATCCCTTTTGGACCAGTGCCTCAGATATAAACAGTTACAAGGTGGAAGTAATGATAAAACCTATGGGGTCATACATTAACGTTTAAAAGTCTCTTATGCTCACCAAGGCTGCATTTATTTGATCAAATACAGTAAAAACAATAATACAGTGAAATACTATTACAATTTAAAATAACTTTTCTATTTAAATATATTTAAAAATGTAATTTTTCCTTTGATGGCAAAGCTTAAGTTTTAGCAGCCATTGCACCAGCATTCAGTGTCACATGATCCTTTAGAAATGATTCTAATATGCTGATTTGGTGCTCAAGAAATATTTCTTATTATTAGCAATGTTGAAAACAGCTGTGCTGCTTAAAGGGGTCCTATTATGCTTTTTCACTTTTTTAATTTTAGTCAGTGAGTAGTGTGTATGTTTGGACATAAAAAATATCTAGAAATTTACAAATCTCAAAGTCCACTCCAAAGGGAGATATTTAGTTTTTTAAAAATCCATTTTCAAGAACTACAGCAAATGGCTCGTTTGGACTACAGCGTTTGGTTTCCGGGCTTTGTGATATCACAAAGCGGCCCATTAGAATATCATTACAAATAATTCCCGCCTACAGAAATTCTAATGGTTGGGGGGTGGGGAGGGGCGAGGTTGTGGTTAGAACACTTGGTTGAGTGAGCGCATGAGACGAGACGACGAAGAAGAAGTGCTGCTGCAGAGTTAGTGCATCAGAGAAAACTAAGAAGAGCTGCTGTGCTGTAGCATCAAATTTTTGGCATGTCTAGAACAGCGGTTCTCAATTCCAGTCCTCGCGTACCCCCGCTCTGCACATTTTGTGTGTTTCTCTTATTGCTTCATACGTTTGTTATATTTGACTGTAAGTGCCCTGCGAAGTGGACATTACCGGATATTCCTCCATGATTCCAGTTCGAAGGGAGCGTATATGTTCCATACAAAGGGCATTTATGTGTGCGAGACGTGAATTTAAATTGTATTTATTTACAGAGGTATATTATGTCCCACTTCACGCTTCTCTTGTAAGTTGTGTTTGTGTGAAGACGCTGCAGGCAGCGGCGCAGCGCAAATCTGTAAATGAATATTCTGAAGTGAAGTAAACTTCAATGGATTTCCCCTGCTCAGGGAGTAGGGAGCAATGGACACTGTGTAGGGACCATGTCAATCGGAACACAGTTAATGCATGGAGCTCACTTCTAACAAGATGATGATCTGAATCAGGTGTGTTAACAAAGAGAGACGTGCAAAACATGCAGAACGGGGGTACACGAGGACTGGGATTGAGAACCGCTGCTCTAGAACAATTCTTACAAATATAACACGACGTAGCTGGGTGCCGCGGAAAGACGCCGAACGGCGCCGCCGGTGTGCCTACACTCATAGAAAATAATGTATTTGAAT